GGGCTTCTTGCTACCCCGCAACCTTTTGTGTTACGTTACTCCCTATCGTTCACAATCTCAATAAACTGACTGTTTCCCTAAAGGAATTCTCATTGAGATTGCCTTCTGAATGCAGGCACATTACAGTAAATGGGGCGTAAGTATAAATCCAGCTCAAATACACATACCACATCAACGCAAAAAAATAAATTTCTAAATACACCGCCAAGGGCGGTAGCCATTTGTGAGCTGTAATAGAAGTCTGACAGTTGGACCGTCGCTCTCTAGGATGTCTACCCCGAGCTTCAGCAAGTTGAAGGCAGAAGTGTGCGTGATCAACGTGTCGTCCTGGGTCCCCTACAACAGTCTGAACAATCGAACTAATACCACGCAAAATCCAAAGAAGCATTATTTTTTAACCAGTGCCACTCGCAGTTTGTGAGTAGTATTTTAAAAGTTACCATTTAAAAAAGTGTGTGTGTACAAATGACGCACCGCACATGTAAACAACAGGGTTTTCGAAAGCAGTTGCCTATTACCTTTAGCAAATAAAAGTAAATAAAACTCTTGCAGCCCAAAATTGACTGACACGTACTCTGGGTGTCCACCTGGAATTCTGTCAAGTTTGAACTGGCCCCTATGGCGCGGAGCTTAGCCACTGCATTGGCCTTCACAGCCCTGTACTGTCGGTGGAAAGTCCTGATCTGCTCAGCTTCCACTTTCTTCATGATCTCCGGCGTCACTAGCTGATCTGCAAAAGGGAGTAGGAAAAATAGGGACAAAACTAGCCTTTTGAGAGTTGCATCCAAAAGCACCCTCGAACACCACCGTCATACTCATTCGATCTTGATAAAGTCAGTAGGGGAATATTACGGCTGGCGTTATGACTGCTAGAGTCTTCGGTGAACATTCACTCTCGGTCACCGGCGACAGTTTGTTAGGACACTTAGAAGTTCACATCGGTAGCAGTCCTACAGAGATGTCAACTTATGGTGGAGGCGATGATAAGCTAAAACAACGCTTTAGAGGGAGTGACATAGTTTTTGAGCTGACTGTAGACTGAGGAAGGGAAGCGAACTGCCTCTGGTTGGCAGATACCACTCGGCAGCCTTTTAGTGTTTATCCGATATGGTAATATAAGAATAATATGTACAGTAGATCCCCCATCTCCTTAACTGTCAACTCTCTTTTTTCAATATGATTTCTATTCGACCAAATAACTCAGTTAACTTTGCAGGAAACATGGCATTCACACGCGGACTCAATTAACGGGCATATCAAGCTTCCCGATGCCTACCTCGCGTTGCGCGAGCAGATCGAGGGCAGAGGTCACTCCCGGCAGAACCAAGTTACATGCACAGTGAGCTGTACATTTTTTCATTCCTTGAAAATGAGCTCGCGGGAGGGTTCGAAACGTCGGACAACTAAACCCCTGGTCTCTGAGAACGTTTTACCTCTTCTATTCAGTGACCTGGACCTCAAATATTCTCAACTTTGATTATCGTACAACCTAATTGCAAGATACCTCAATCACCTCAGGATGGCAGCTTTTGAAGACCTTCTTTCTGACTGCAATATGCACACTCTGTACAAAGTGGCTACTTAAGTAGTATACATTTTACGCATTTATTTACATATCCATATAAATGTTAGTACCTTTTACAGAAAACATACAAAAAACATTCCCTGTTGTACTTACTTCGTAGCAATTCACACCTTTTCAATTTTTATACTTAAACAAAGGCTATCTTTTGATTTGAAAAAAATTTCAAAAATATTTTGAAGCCTATCGACCACTACACTTGAACTCTAGGTTTCCAAAGATCAAGTTTCATTTATTTTGTGCAGACAAAAGTGCACGCTTCCCTACGATGTGAAGAAGAGGGCGCATATTTCGAATAAAATTTTGCAATAGATATTGATCTAATTGAATACTCTATAGGCAACATTAAAAATCGACAGATACGATGTATCATAAAGGAACATTCCACGATAGTATGAAATCTCATAATTAGAAACTACAGTAGTCGCCGGCTATTAAGCCCACCTCGGGCCCAGACCAAATTGG